GCTGGTGTTCAGAAGAGTGTTGGCGTAGTTGCCCGGCAGCATGGAATCCCAGTTGTAGGTTTGGCTGTTGCCCCCCCCGCAGCTGCCCAGGTAGCTGCAAACTGGCGTACCACCTTCCGCTATGCGGCCATTGCGTGCGGTACTGGGGCCCTCAAGATACCCACTGCTGGGTCACTTGGGCCCTGTATATATATATATATATAGTATAAGGGTATAGGGCCCCTGAGTTTCAAAGGTCATTTTGTCTTTGAGCAGCCCTCAAGCCTCAAAACCACCTCTGGCCTGCAGATGAAGCCTGAACCGTGGACTCTTAGGCTTTAGGGTTTGTGGTTTACTGTAGAGTTTAGGGGCTTAGGGGTTTAGGGTTTACTGTAGAGTTTAGGGTTTTAGGGGTTTTAGGGGCTTAGGGTTTAGGGTTTACTGTAGAGTTTAGGGTTTGGCAACTCTCAACCCTAGACCGACCTTCAACTTAGCGATCTTATCGTAGTACAGGGGCCTGAATAATTTCAATAGGGTTTTGGGGGTATATGATACTATAATTATCACAAGGAGCCCCCAAAACCCTATTCTACTTATTCAGGCCCCTACATTAGTATTTTTACTCGTACAACCGTGTTAAACCATGCCAGACCCTTGTCAAACTCTTCCACATCCGGTTGATGAAACCTACTCAAACAAGCCTAAAGCCTAAACCCTAAAACCTAAACCATTACGAAAGCAAACGAAGCCAAAAGCAAGCACAAGCCGCAAACACTGCACTGCGGTAGCCAGAAGCTCTAACCCGACCCCAAGCCCTACTATGTTGCCTAACGCCCTAAACCCTAAACCCTAAAACTCTAAACAGGAGTGCACATCCCCACTTAAAAAAAGACTAAACCCCTTAAAACCCAAGCGTAAGCAGAGGAATCCCTGAAGCACTTCGACAGCTCCTTGCATTCGCTGGGAAGCAAAATCGTCTACCGGAAGGGAAGGCTGGTCGAGCAGGCGATGGGATGTTTTCAACTAGGGTTTAGGGTTTAGGGGTTTAAGGTTTAGGGTTTAGGGTTAGGGGTACTTGGGGTTGGGGCGATGGGATGTGACGGTTTCTAATTACGAAACGTTATGTTGTGCGGCTTGGGCATTGAGAGTTGCAGCATGTGGAATTATTTGGCTGAGGTAGTATGCGTATGACATAAGGTTCTTAGCAAAGGTTCATGGCTTCACTGGTTGTGAGATTCGTTTACAGGGGCCGACATACTTTTCATTAAGCACGTTCGTGAACCCTGAGCCGTCAACTTGGCCGTCTTGATCCTTAGGTGCTTAAATTAAAGATGAAGGCTATCTAGCGGTGTATTGCCTATAGTCTCCATTGTAGTT